CAGCCAGGTTCTCCAAAGTACTGGTGCCAGAGCACCCATCTGTTTGTCTTTACCCCCTCACATTCTGTCTTCACCGCAGGGTCTGTGTCCCTGCTTTAGTGCCCTTTCTTACCGCCTTCTTGGCTCCCCTTAAGAGGTCAGGGCTCCTGGGACCACTTGAGGCTGGATGCACTGCTGTGTATCCATTCTGTGGCCCTACAAGCAGATTGGTGATCTTAGCCGCTTAATTTCCCAGGGGAGGCGGCCATCAGTGTGGTCCAGTGGAATGTAATCAGGGGCTTGACTGTCTGTTTCGGCTTCCCCAAAAGTCACAGCTGCCAGATCTTGGCCTTGCATCCTGGGGGTAGGGGGTTGTGGGGGTGCTGTACACCTCTCTCTGGACAGGCCTAGTCGGGGGAAATTTCCTCCCGGACTGCCTCTTTGCATTCCACATTTCCATCACCTTTTCCTGAATATCCTGGTGGGTTTTTGACTTCTGCTGTTCTCCAGTGCATGGCCGGAAATGAAGCAGAGACAAGTATTATTTCTAGGCTGTCAGGGACCCAGAGGAGCAGGCAGAGACTCCTTTCCATTTGCTCAAAGACACGTCTCAGGGAGTCCAGGCCTTCCTATCAGGCATCCAGGCCCTCCTCTCAATCATCCCACGGCCTCCAGGCCACCATTAGCCACCGCTGATTGCATTGACTTCTCTCATCAGTGTCTTTGTTTAAAATGCCTTTATCAAGGCATGCTTTTTTTTTTTAACCTTTGTAGAATAAATTGTCCTTTATTCTGTGAATGCCTCTGGTAAGAATTTTCTTTCTTTCTTTCTTTTTAAAATTTTTTTCATTTATTTATATTAGTTGGAGGCTAATTACTTTACAATATTGTAGTGGTTTTTGCCATACACTGATATGAATCAGCCATGGATTTACATGTGTTCCCCATCCTGAACCCCCCTCCCACCTCTCTCCCCATCCCATCCCTCTGGGTCTTCCCAATGCACCAGGCCTGAGCACTTGTCTCATGCATCAAACCTGGACTGGCGATCTGTTTCACAATTGATAATATACATGTTTCAATGCTATTCTCTCAGATCATCCCACCCTCGCCTTCTCCCACAGAGTCCAAAAGGCTGTTCTATATATCTGTGACTTTTTCTGTCTTGCATATTTTTCATGCAATAGAACCCACTCACTTAAAGCATCCCCTGCAGTGAGTTTGGGGTAAATGTGTGCACTCACGTCGTGTGCACCCATGGTCAAGGGTGAATATTTCCATCTTCTCTGTGTCCTTGTTTGTTCCTGCTATCCATCTCCCCTGTCTCACCACTGCTGACCCAAGCAACTACTGATCTGATTTTTGATGCTAAGGTTTTGCCTTTTTAAGAATTTCCTGTAAATGGAATCATGTGGTATGTAGTCTTCTTTGTCTGACTTCTTTCACTTAGAATGCATTGGAGATTCTTGTTGTCCTCAGTAGTTCTCTCCTTTTTGTTGCTGAGTTGTGTTCCATCGAATGGATATTCTGTGTTTTGACAGACATGGAGATTTTTTCATTCTGTGACTGTTGTGAATGCTGCTAACGTGAACATTGGCGTACAAGTCTTTGTGTGGACATATGTTTTCATTTCATTTGCGTAAATACCTAAGAGGGAATCTCTGTGTTGAATGATAAGTGTGTATTTAACTTTTTTTTTTTTTGTATTTAACTTTTTGAGAAACTGCCAGATTGTTTTCTTTATAACCTGCGCTATTTTGCATTCCCACAAAGTATGAGTTTCTGTGGTCCCTATCTTTGCCCAGCACTAGGTATTATTATTATAATTTTAGTTCTTCTTGGGGGAGTAGTGTTACCTCATTGCAGCTCTTTTTGGTCTTTGTGTTTTGTCTTTAAACCTTCTTGTGAAACAAGTTTAGATTCATAGGATTGTTGTAAACGTCATAGACAGCCAGCATCCTTTAACACAGTGGTTCTCAAACCAGGGTGGGATTTTGCCCCCGATAGGCATTTGACAATATCTAGATGATGATGCTGGGAAAGATTGAGGGCAGGAGGAGAAGGGGACAACAGAGGATGAGATGGTTGGATGGCATCACTGAGTCAATGAACATGAGTTTGAGCAAACTCTGGGAGAAGGACAGGGAGGCCTTGTGTGCTTCAGTTCATGGGGTTGCAGAGTCAGACATGACAGAGAATGAACAACAGCAACAATAGCTATTTTTGATTGTCACATCCTGGGGAGGGGCAGCCAGGGGCCAGTACTGACACTCAGGGGGAGGCCTTTTGAGGTTGAGGTGGCCATGGATGTCCCCTTGGAACTTTTCCTTCTGCATTTGCTGGTCACTTAATTCCCTCCCGCTGTCATGGGACTTCTTTTCCAAGTCTATCTAGGCCTGAAGAATCTGTTGGAGAAGGAGAGAGAGGTTTTCTTTTGTGCACATGAACAGTTTTAACCTCCCGAGACTGCCAGCCTGGAGGATATGGGTCCCCTTGCTAGAGGATGTGGACCCATGTTGAATGACCGCCTTCAGACATCCCTTGATGGGGTTTTCTCCCTCTAGATGGAGGTGCACCCTGATTGCATTACCAGCTTGGAACGCATGCTGGAGTGAACACACATGTGTGGACCCTTTCTCATAGCCACTGCCAGGTTATGGCCCGAGGGCTCCTTGCTATCTTCCTGGACTTCAGTAACAATGAAGAAGACTTCCTAACAGTAATGGGGATCATGGTCAGATTGTCAGAAGATGCAGGTTTGTACAGGGACTAGAGGCTTCTACTTTACCTTGTGCTTTTCCAAGAAATTATGTATGAGCTTTGATAGCTCATTTAAAGTAAAACCTGTTTATTAATTGGGAAACTATACACAGCATCTAACTATGAGTAGATTTTTGTCATGAAGAATCACCTCTTAGTTGGCATCAGATTAACCTTATTTTTAGAAAATTAGAATGACTAAGGACATGGAACAACAGACTGGTTCCAAATCAGGAAAGGAGTATGTCAAGGCTGTATATTGTCACCCTGCTTATTTAACTTATATGCAGAGTACATCACACAAAATGCCAGGCTGGATGAAGCACAAGCTGGAAGCAAGATTGCCCGGAGAAATATCAGTAACCTCAAATATGCAGATGACACCACCCTTATGGCAGAAAGCAAAGAAGAACTTAAGAGCCTCTTGATGAAAGTGGAAGAGGAGAGTGAAAAATTTGGCTTAAAACTCAACATTCAGAAAACTAAGATCATGGCATCCAGTACCATCACTTCATGGCAAATAGATGGGGAAACAGTGGAAACAGTGAGAGACTTTATTTTTTTTGTGCTCCAAAATCACTGCAGATGGTGACTGCAGCCATGAAATTAAAAGATGCTTGCTGCTTGGAAGAAAAGCTATGACCAACCTAGACAGCATTTTAAAAAGCAGAGACATTACTTTGCCAACAAAGGTCCGTCTAGTCAAAGCTATCGTTTTTCCAGTGGTCATGTATGGATGTGAGTGTTGGACTATAAAGAAAGCTGAGCACCGAAGAATTGATGCTTTTGAACTGTGGTGTTGGTGAAGACTCTTGAGAGTCCCTTGGACTGCGAGGAGATCCAACCAGTCTATCCTAAAGGAAATCAGTCCTGAATATTCATTGGAAGGACTGATGCTGAAGCTGAAACTCCAATACTTTGGCCACCTGATGATAAGAACTGACTCATTTGAAAAGACCCTGATGCTGGGAAAGATTGAAGGCGTGAGGAGAAGGGGATGACAAAGGATGAGATGGTTGGATGGCATCATCGACTCGATGGACATGAGTTTGAGTAAGCTCTGGGAGTTGGTGATGGACAGGGAGGCCTGGCATGCTGCATACCTGGGGTCTCAAAGAGTCGGACATGACTGAGCGACTGAACTGAACTGAACTGAAGGACTTGGAATGTTGTTTGTCCTGGCAGTTAGGACTTTTTGTATTTTGTGAGTTTTGCCAGACTACTGGTTGCTAAGAAATACCAAGTCAAAAGAAGTCCTTTGGATTAGAACAATCCCAATCATTAATTTCCCTCATGATCTTTATAGGCTAATCTTGATTTTCCTTTCTCTTTGTACCTCTCCATAATTACTATCTTGGAAGAAAAGCACACTGCCTTATGGTAGATACTAAGACATTGTCCATTTCCCCCCCCCACCCCCTCAAACACACAAGAGTTGAGATTAGAAAAATGAGTGACTAGTGGAGTCGCCAGTATTGACGGCTGCTCTGTACCCATCACTTGTCCTCTGCATGTATAGTGACCGGTGAACAGCTTCAGAAAGTTTCCAAAATCTTAGGCTTGTTCTAGATTTTGATCATTTTGCTAGAAAATAGAAAAATAAGCCTTTCATATTGCACTCATATTAGTTTAAAATATTCATTTATTTTAATGTGACACAATGCTTTTAAAAAGGCCCAAGTGGATGTTTTGAGTCCTTAAATGGATTCTCTTTGTAAATGAGTCACCATTTACAGTGCTGAAGCAATTATACATTTGTGTTAAATTTAATGTGGTATATTGGAGCTAGAGCTGCGCTCTTTTGTTTAATGCTGTTGCCTCCGAAGTAATTGGGATGCGTGGATTGTGGGGGAGCACATTTATGAAAGAATTGTTTATAATGTATACATTCTGGCTAGAATTTAAATAAGCACAACTCATAGGTCTGGCATATATGCCATTAGTTGTAATGGGTTTTGGACGCTGGCCCGGCACGCAGACCTCCTGTTCCTGCCTCGATTTATATATGGCTTGTTATAATAGAGTTGTCATTCTCTCTTCTTTTTATGTTTTTATATCGCCCTATAGCTTATTAGCTTTTTAAGCTTGTCTGTAGCATAAACACTCTAAATGGGAAATGATTTTTAAACTGCATTTGTCTAATTTCCCTGATGAAGTATTTTAGTAAGAAAAGCTTAGAAACTATCAGTATATACTGTATAAGATGCTTGGCTTATTCTTATATAATTCTTTTGCTCATTTTTTTTTTTTTATTGCTGCAGAGCCCACAGTGCGGACTGAGCTGATGGAGCAGATTCCTCCTCTTGCCATTTTTCTACAAGAAAACAGATCAGATTTTCCAGTGGTGCTCTCTGAATGCCTCATACCCGTCATGGTGAAGTACCTCACAGATACAGACAATCAGGTGTGAAAAATTACAACCTGAAGGTGTCTGCAGCAAACTCTCTTTCGTCTTACTTTAGCTGATATTCATAATTCAGAAAACAGCCACTTAGGATTTAGTGACTCCAGAACAAAATGTCTGTTTTTGCCCAGTTTCTTTAATCACATAGGAAAGTAGAAGGCATGCATTCTTATTATCATGAGCTATTTCTCTCTCTTTTTTTGAGAACTTTATTATGGAAATTTTCAAACACATCCAGTAGTCCAAGAGGTATTAAAATGAATGTCCACGTACTGTCCACCCAGCTCCAACTGTCATTAACATTTGACCAATCTTTCTTCATTTTTCTTACCCAGATAAATGCAGTCCCCAGACATTTCAACTGTACATGCATTAGTATCACTCCCTAAGAAATACAGACACTTAAAAAACTCCCATAATGACAGCACCATTATCACAAGTATAAAAATTTTCAGTGGTTCCTTAATAATATCATCTAATATCTAGTCCTGTTCAGATTTTCCCAGTTTTCTCATACATCTGCTTTTTGCAAATATTCTGTTCAAATCGGAATACTCCAAAGTTTCATATACTACATTCAATTGTTGTGTCTTTCAAATCTCCTTTAATCTGTAGTAGTTCTTCTTCCTCTGCTATTTATTTGTTTAGGATACTAAGTTATCAGTCCTATAGGGTTTCCTGCATTTGGGATCTGGCTGATTGCACTTCCAGTGCCATTTGAGATGTTCCTATATTCCCAGTGTTCCCTCCAAATTGGTGAAGTCTAGAGGCTCAGTCAGACTCAGATTTTTGTATAGTATAGTGAGAACACTTTTTAGATGTTGCTGTGTTTTCTTGCTGCATCAAATCAGGAAGCACAAAGGCCATGTGGTCACTAGATTAGGTTCTGTCAGCCTTAGCTGTTTATGATAAAGTTCCTCACTGGCCTCTAAGCAGCCACTAGTGAGCCTTGCCCAGATATAGGATTTTGTTAGAGGTTGCAAAATTGCGATGCTCTAATTCCATCATTCCTTCTTTTAGTTTTTATTTTTATTGAAGTCCAGTTGATTTACAATGTTGTGTTAGTTTCAGGTGTATGGCCAAGTGATTCAGTTATACGTGCATGCACATATATATATATATATATATATATATACATGCAGTATATATACTCTTTTTCAGATTCTTTTCCCTATAGGTTATTGTAGAATGTTGCGTGCAGTTCCCTATGCTATACAGTAGGTCCTTGTTGGTTATCTATTTTATATATAGTACTGTGTATCTGTTACTATCATTCCTTCTTAATTTAATAGCTGGAATACTTCTGTAAAGACCTTCCCTCGCAGCTATTTGGTAACCCTGAAAAACTGTCTAGGGGAGACAAGTTAAATGCTTTACTCTCGCCCTTTATCTGCCAGTTTTTAGAAGAATTAGTTGGTGTTCTAATAACCTTCAAGGTTACCAATTAGGTTTTGAAAATTTATTTTAAGCATTATTATGAACTCCTGTATCTTAACATATTAGATATGTCTTAATCCACCATAATTGTTATTCCTTTTGATAATCAAATTGTCCTAGTTTGACCAGTGGTGGAACCCTTCAAGGTGGCTCCTGAATCTTCTTAATGTGACCCAGTAGACTTTGCTACTAGCTCACTTCTACCTGGAATCAGCCATTTCTCCAAGGAACCCTGGTTCCTTTATGAGGGAAATGATAATACGAAGCCAGAACATGGATACCAGAGGTACTCACTTTTACAAGATTGGTCATGGCTTTTAGTGACAGAGCGATTTATTTTCTTAAAAAATAAAAATTCCTCATGAGTGTATATTGATATTTCCTACTCAAATTTAGGATTATAGGGCTTTTGTACATGTGTGCTAAGTCGCCTCAGTCATGTTCGACTCTTTGTGACCCCATGGACTGTAGCCTTCCAGGCTCCTCTGCCCATGGGATTTTCCAGGCAAGAATACTGGAGTGTGGTTCTATACCCTCCTCCAGGGGATCTTCTTGACCCAGAGATCGAACCTGGGTCTCCTCCATCTCCTGCATTGTAGTCAGAGTCTTTACCACTGAGCCACCGAGGAAGCCCTATAAGGGCTTTTACTTATTTGATTTTATTTGTATCTTTTTATTTGATTGTTTTTTTTACACAGTATAAATCTGCCTTCTTAATGGTATTTATGTGTGTATGGTGTATGTGTATCTAAAATAAAAATAGCAGCATTATTACTAACAACCTGGTAGAATTACTGAGTATAGTTTACGATTTCTTTGCAGTTCTTTTTGCTTTCAGGCTCTTTCCTGCTGGAGATGTACAGGCATATTACTATCAATGTGCTTTAAAGTCACTTGCACTAACACTTCTTTTTGTGGTTAAGCTGCCATCTTGATACACAGTTAGGCTCATTTGTTTTCATTTATTTTTCATTTTTAGGGATTGCTTTAGCTTTTACATGTTGATTTAATTTAGATGTGTAATTATTTAAAATGTTTTTACATGATTCTAAACTCAAAAGTGTAAAAGAAAGTACATTTAGAGAAATCTGATTTCCACTCCTGCCTCCCTCACCATCCTCTCTCTCTCTCCCCGCCACGGACGGCCATTTTTATTAGGTTTTGGTTTATTCTTGCCTTTAAAAATTACCCACACACAAATAGCTCGCAGCAAACATGCGTGCATCCTTGTACCCTGTGCTGCCTGGTTCCTTTCCTAGACGAGAGTAGAGTACTGTACCTGGCACTCTGCCCATGCCTTCCCTATTGTCGTTGGCTCCCCAAGGTTAGCCCGGGGTCGGCTGGGGAAGGCATCCCGATGCTTTCTCCGTCATCACAGTGTTCCACTGTGCTTTACCCTAGACCTGGCGCTGTGTCTGCCCTTTGACATTTTAAAATTGTTGCAGCAAGTAACCTTGTGTCATTTCTATTTCTGTCAGTTTATTTGGGGGATGGATTTCCACAAAGGCTAAATGTATTTGTAATTTTTTACATGCCAAGTTTTGTTTTTTTTTTTTTGGTTACTGTCATTGCCAAGAAATTATGCATTAAAAAAAAATTGATTTTATTTATTTTATTCTGTCTGCGCTGGGTATTCATTGTAGCCCATGGGCTTCTCTAGCTTTAAGGGTAGTACCTAGTTGCCCTGAGGCATGTGGGATCTTAGTTCCTCTACCAGGGATCAAACATGTCCCCTGCACTGAAACGTGGATTCTTAACCACTGGACCACCAAGGAATTCCCAAGAAATTCTGCAGTTTTGACTTGTATTTCTTCCCTTGATCCAAGCATTTTTAAAGAGCAAATACTCCCCCCTAACTATTAGACAATGTGCTAGGATTAGGCATAGTTTTTAAATAAGTAAAGAAGTCTTCCTGCCTGCACTCTCCTAACATCAGTATTTTGATTATTTTTGCATTTTCTCCTCCAAGGGCTTACTTTTTTTTTATGCTCCTGCATGGGTCTAATCATAATGGGATGTGGTTTCCTCCATCCGTTCATTTGTTCCGACAGCTTCTGAGTGCCTATTATGCGCCAAGCCTGGCGCTGCGTGCTGGGGATGAAGAGATGAGCAGGACAGGTTTTCTACCCGAGGAAGCTCGTCTGCATGTCACAGACATTATATGTCTTCATCATCTCCATATTTTTAATTTTGTTTTGAATGTTTAGCTTTCTTTCAGCTTTTTTCTTGTCCTGTAGATGCAGTGAGCCTCATAAAAGGTGCAGTTTTATTTTTCTCTTGGTTTGTTTTTTCTTTGGATGCATTCTTAAAACTGAGGTTCTGCCGGGTTGGGGGGAATTTGACAGTCTCGTTGACCTTTGTTCTGTGTCATGGTCACATATTTGACTCCAGAGCAGGGAATCAGGGACTGTGATGTGTTTCTTTCTTTTTTTTTTTTTTAAGATATTTCTTTTTGGCTGTGCTGGGCCTTCTCCAGTGCTGGTGAGTGGGGGCTGCTCTCTAGTTGTGGCGAACAGGCTTCTTGCTGCAGTGCCTTTTCTCTTGTTGCAGAACATGGACTCCAGAGCGCAGGATCAGTAGCACAGGCTTATTCACCCCATGGCATGTGGGATCTTTCCGGACCAGGGATCGAACCAGTGTCCCTTGCATTGGCAGGTGGGTTCTTAACCACTGGACCACCAGGGAAGCCCAGGGACTGTGGTTTTGATCCTAGGCTCCAGTGTGATTCCTGACACTCAGCCCTTGTCTCCTGAGGAGCTGTGTCCACGGCTGTCAGCCTGTGCTGTTCACGTACCCCCACTGCCCCGGGTCACTGCCCCCGCCCCGCCCCGCCCCAGGGGCCCCACAACTGCCTTCTCTGAAGATGCCTTCCACTCTCTCACCGCGATTTCCCACCACGCTGAGCTTGCCCGCCCTGGAGACCTCTGCCTCCCGACTCCGTCTAACCTTGCCTTCACTTCCTGTTGTTCCGAAGCTGCTCCCTCTCTCAACCCACCCACCCCTTCGGCCTGTCTCCACAATCACTCTGTTTTTTCCCTGTGGGCTCTGCTCCCACCCTCCTGGCTCTGCCCGCCCCTCCCCAGCCCGTTGCTTCTTCCATCCCGGTTGCCGATGGTGCATTGACTGGTGCCGTCGCAAATGCATGGGCTCCAGTTGGTGCTGGAATTGCGGTGCTGCCCTGCAATCCTGCTTGTCCCTCCTCAGCTGCCTTCCACATCACCGTGGCGGCTCTTTCAGACCTTTGCCAGGTCCACCAAGCCTCTTCCGCTCGCCCAGCCTCGCCCCTGGCGCCTGACCTTGCCTTCCCCTTCCCAGAGAAGACAGCGGCCTGCGGTCTCCATCCGCTCTCGTGAGGAAGGGAACCACAGTCCGCTTAACTGGGGGCCGTCCACGTCCTTCCTCCTCTCTCCTCCCAGGTCTAGTCGGACCCAAGTCTCCTTTGTTTCTGTGACAAACACAAAACCCCGTGAGGACACCCCCTCTGCTCCCGCCTGTCATCTTTAAACATGGAAATGAGATGCAGTCACAACTTACTGAATAGTCTTCAGCCTCCTTACAGCCCT